AAAAAAAAAGCCAATTTGTCTGGAAGCGCTAGGATGGCGAGTTGGGGACTGAAAATCGTGTGTCCTGACCATTAAGCAAACCCCGTTAGAGCCAGACTGGTGGCAACCCCCATTTTGCACGCTCTTTATCGTGAAAAATCCTATTTTTGTCGAACATTGGTGTTTTTCCTCGTTTCCTCGCTTGATTCCTGTCCTCGCATTATACGTGCCGTCTGTTGACGAGGAAATAGAGGACAGAGAGGCGTTTTCAAGATCCAAGTCAAGCACAAACAAAGTGAAAGTCGTAAATTTACTATTTGTTTACTATTCCCTCAGACAGACATAGGGCAGTGATCAAAATTCTTCCACAAGGTACAAACGAGAAAATGAACTGAAAACATCCACTAGATGTTTATGCGTTGAGTACGTGCAAGTGCATTCCGCCTAGTCTAGACTATGTCCCTTGCTAGTGGGCGTTGCTAGCCCTAGTATTGCCATGGAACGGTATCATGGCATAGTGACAACCGGCCATCAAAAGGATCAGTAGAGGCGGCCGCGTGAATCGATGCCCTCCGGCGCCCAGCAGGCCCTTCCTTGTCTACTAGCTTCCGTGAAGCATCATTCAAGCCCAATTACTGTTTGAAATAACTACCTCACTCATTTGCTCTTTTCTTATTCACATTGTTTTTTGAACCATCTCGTGGCGCTATATCCGAAATGATCGTAATTTTTCCATCAGTCGCATCGTCGGTAATCTAGGTGAATGTAGAATCATTTTACGATTGGGAACATATATAACTAAGTACTGCGCTGAAAGACAAGAAGCATTGTTGATCAAAAAGGAGGTCGCGAGCGCCGGCGAACATTACTTACTGCAGCGATCCCCGATTTCTCATTGCGTGCAGTAACGAGTTGCTTAGTAACCACGCTGCAGCGACCGCCCTAAACACCAAATCTACGAACTCTTTAGTACTAGTAAATAGCTACCGGTTATTTTCACTCACATTCGGTCTGCTCAGTGAACGTTCTGGAATGTGCTCTCTAGTGATTCTCTTGCTTCTTCTGCTTTGCGGAGCGAATGCACTGGTGCTTATGTATCTGTGCTTGAAAATCGTACCTGTGTTTTCGCACTTCTCTTCCCTCATTCTGTCAACGCGTATTTCCTGCAAGAAAGTCATGCATTACTTAAAAGCCGACATCTGTGAAAAATCACCAACTGGTTGATGTCCGTTTCCATTGCTTTGGATTATTAGTGAACGAAAGGCTCGTTTAGCCCAACGAACATGCGCTGAAAAAGAAGGTTGGCGCGGCTTCCCTAGCATTGTTGGCATTCGCTGAATCACGCCTTGCTGAGCGCTAGTCAAAGACTCCGCCTGACAACTTCTATGCGGGAAATATCCAGCACTGCTGGAATACTACCATTGCCAACAATCGCTTACTCTTTGCTGCTGTTTAATCTTAGTTCGAAAGCTGATTGTTCAGCAAAGGCAACGCATTGTGACGGCGTTTCTTACAGCATGCTGATGTGCTCGTTGGATGATCTTCAGTTGCGGCATTAGCGGCAGTTCTCCGGGAAGAAAGCTAGTCGTCTCTGAGAATCTACCGGAGACACTTCGCAGCATCTCTGCACAGACCTACCGATCCTCCCCGGCATCGGCCGATTCCACCGGCTCCTCTCCCAGCCGCTCGAGTTCACCTGCAGTTCGCACTGCAGATATCACTGCTGGCAAGTGGACACGCATCTCAAGTCGTGTGTCTGTGCGGCCCCTCACTCCTTCCGAAGCCGACTCAGTCGTTGAGCGACAACGAAGACGTGGACGAGACACTTCTACATCTAAAGGTGATCTGCATGGGAGTGTTGTGAATACCGCAGATTGCACTGCCCACCCTTCCACGAGTTACCGCATGTTATATACGTCAGAGTTGTTATGTCTCGTATCTCTACGATGCTCATAAGGCTTGCTCGTGTCTTTGTTCGTTTCGTTTTGAACGTACGTTATTTTGCAGAGAGATCGAGAATGGAGGACCACGATGAGACAAGAAGCAGCATCGACGCTGGAGGAACAATCCAAATTCCTTCGAGTGACAGCGTCAAAGAGCTAATTCCGGAAAGTCCGGGCTCACGTTCTAATTATGGGGAATTCTATTGGTGAGTTGGAATCGCATGCATACACTCTGCCTCATCGATTCAGTGCTTGGCTCTGATTCCTTAAGAACTGTACCAATGATGCGTCCTGTTCCTTTCTTACTCGCCTTTTTGTCCTTCTCTTCCTCTCCGGCCTGCTCGAATGCAGTGCCCATGCATGGCAGTTTACCACTTTGCGCTTTGGTGGTGTCTGCGGCAGAGCTGATCGATGCCGCGAACGCCTAGTTTGTTTTCGCCAGGGTGGCCCGACGTACCAATTTTGCTGTTGGCCAAAACAGTCGCATCCCACTACTGTTTGTGCGTATCTTGTCGAGCAGAAACCGTGGGTGCCAAAACATCGTCGCAAATAAGCACACCAAAACATGATTTAGAGAATGTATCAAAAAGATTAGCGAATATCTGCGGGACTTAGTTTCTCTTTACGTGCGTTTCAATCGAAAAGAGCTGTTGCTGATCGTGTGGCCAGTGTGACATGCATGCACCGCACCCAGGCGCTCACATCGCTTACCTGATGGCGAGTGAGCGCTAGAACGCCGCGAAGAACGTACGAGTATGCACCTTATTTGAGGGATGAGTTCTCCAGGGACACCTCCGGCGAAAACAACTACCACAACACATCCTCGTTTGAAGACGACCTTCTCGACTTTGATCGTGGTGCAGCCGTTGCTCGGCTTGACCGTACACAGGATGACTTAAACAAGTTCCGCCAGCGCATCGACAACAACGTCGAGCAGCAGAAAGAATACAGTGAAATGATGGCAGCTCTGCAGAATAAGGTATGAACGGCAATTTGTAGTAAATCGTAGCAGGGGATTGGGAATCATCCAGGAAAGACATAGATTAGATGATCAACTTTGAAGGTACACGAATATCGTAAACATATTGCGGAACTCGAAGGGAAAATGGTTAGCGCTAGAAGAAGACAAGCCGATGACGGATTTACCATTCTCGACTCGAACGTTTTCCAAGATACCAGCAACAGCTTGTAAGTTGAATACTGGCTGAGATTTGCTAACGTTAACTGATCGAATTCAGCCGCGATATGGAAATGTGGAGTCCAGCTCGCACTCGTGGCGCTACTACCAACGTAGTCCTCGCCGGTGATCCGAATGCTAACTACGAAATGATCGCCCGACTTGACGAGGAGCGCAGAAGGTCAGTATTTAGATTGTTCGAGCAACTAGGAAGATTCATGATGAGTTTCAGGGCTGACGAATACCGCATGCAGTGGGAAAACGAGAGAGCCGCTAAAGAGAGACTGGAAGACGAAAACGAAAGACTTCGTCGTGAGTTTGATCGTTATGATCGCGAATATCGCGACAAGGAGAGGACGTTCGTAAACAGAGAAAGAGTAAGTTACAATAGGCCAGCGATGAGAATAAATACGTAAGGTGTCCTATGCAGAATCTCGCTCAGTATCTAAGTGATGAGCAGAAAAAAATGATGGACATGTGGACGGAACTCCAGCGAGTTCGTAAACAGTTTGCTGATTTGAAGGAGCAGACAGAACGCGATTTGGATTCACAACGCAACGAATTTAACCGCGTACTCAGAAGCGTGTCCAACATCACTCGCAACATCAACATTACTGGAGGAGATGTAAGTGTGGAATATGATCACGCTTCAGAAAAAGCAATGCAAAATAGAGTGTAAATAAATCCTCGAATTTCAGGGAGGCTCCGCAGGAGTGAGTGGTCCTTCGCTGGCGGCACTGCTCACAGATCTAATCAGCGGAGGAAGTCACACGGCTACGTATGATAGTACCATTATCGAAGCTGTTAAAAGGTACCGAGATCGTACTGGTGGTGCTGATGCTGCCGCAGATCGTTCTCTACTCGAAGAGCTGAAACAGATCCGTGGTACCGGAGGAAGTGAGGGCGATGCGGAGTTGCAGAAAGAACTCATGCTCAAGTGTGTATCAGATATTTTGTATTTAGATTGTACTAGAGTGAACAGGAACCGGAAATCATAACGGCAATATAGGTACGAGGAATCCATCGAGCGCAACATCGAGCTCGAATCGAAGGGTGATGAAAGCCAGAGAAAGATCGCCGATTTGGAAGCCGAGCTGCGTCGCGTTAAGGAAAAACTCAATGATGCCACTGGCGCACTGATGAAAATCCATGAGATAAGCCAGGATTCTGACAAGCTAGTCGAAGGGAAAAGGACCCGTTCGTTGTCTCCTGGTAAGTCATATTGCTGATGCACAAAACGCGATTCACCTGTGCTGGCATATTTTGATGCCTCTCGTTTTGAACATTGAAAAGCTATGATACACAATCTGAGTCGCCATAAATAGCGTCACGTGCAAAACATGGACATAACTATCGATTCGCATAGCTGCCCACAAAATCGAACAGCCCTTTTAACACTCAGGCAAATCGCCGTTGCCACCATCTGAGGCGCTACGTTCCGTGAGAAACGCGCTACGCAACAAGGACAATGACATCCAACAGCTGGAGAGGAAGCTCAAGATCTCCGAAAGCCAAGTACGCCTCATAAAATTTTCGAATTTCATGCGAGCTTACTGGTAATTCTTCTAAACTGTATCTTTCCAGGTGAAAGAGTTCATGACTAAATTCGAGACAGCTGACGACACACGCCGACGTCTCGACAAACAGCTTTCGGATGCGAAGAGGGAAATTGATAACCAGTAATTGATTTGCATTTCGGATTTGCGCTATGTTGATACCCGCATTTCCAGGCAAAAGAACATTGATGAGCTGGAGCGCAATCTGCGTCGTGTCGAGGATAAACTCCGCGCATCTGAATCGGAACGTCAAGCGGCCGATAAGGCCAGGAAGTTCCTCGAGGAAGAACTAGCAAAGGTTCAAGCGTAAGTTTATTCATTTTATTCATCCTAGTCGTGGAAAGCTGCACAGAGTCACTAGTTGTTTAGTTCCTACCAAAAATCCACAACGGATGATGTGCGAAAGATCCGCGACGAGTTGGATGAGCAGACTAACACCATCGTGGAAGAGCATAAAAACAGGTTAAGCTCAAGCTTCCATTTATCAAAGATTGCCTTTTCAATTTTTCGTCTTAGAATCACCGAGCTTACCAGACGCGTCGAAAATTTGGTGCGTGAGAACACCAAACTCAAGACGGATATGGCTCCGCTCAAAGACAAACTCCGCGACATGGAGATCGAATATAACAACACCTTGCGTAGACTTGAGGAGAAGGCAAGTTACTGAGGGCAAACAATGTTTCAAACTCACCACGTGTTGCAGGACTCTCAAATCAAATACATCGAGGAAATTCGCAGAAACATCCAGAGAGATCTGGATGACCAGCGTAATCGCAACGATGTATTGGCCAGTGAGCATGACAAGCTGACCAGTGATCTGGATAACGCGCTCAAGAGTACACACCTTGCCGAACAGCAGCTCAAAGAACTAAAAGGACAGCGCGACGATTACCAGTAAGTGATGATGTCACTGGGACAGATGAAGGGCATGCCGAGCAGAGAACTCTACTGTCTTCCTTTTGCAGGAAACAGAAAGACGATCTGTCACGTCAGCTGTTCGATATTCGTCACAAATTCGAGACGGAGCAGAAAACGGTGCAAGATTTGACTAAGGGCGAATCTCGCTTCAATGACGAAATCGAAAAGCTGAAACAAACCATCGATGATTATGAACGACAGGTAGGACCAGCTGAACGACTTTTCTGCTTCATAAGCAATTATTCCAGGTCATGCTTCTGCGTAGAACCAACGATGAATTCGACACCACGATCAAGAACCTCCAAGGAAAGATTACTCAGCTAGAGAATGAGGTTCGATCGAAAACCAGCGAGGTGGAAAAGCTTAATGATCTCAATCAGAAGCTGCAAAAAGAGAAGCAAGATGTTATGAAGTAAATTTGATCTGTCAAAAAATGGCCTTGGCGGATAATTTTTTTTT